TTGGCCTTGGTGTCACCAGGCAAGTAGAATCCTCAGTGATAATTAATGATTTTCAGAATTTCGGGTTTTTGATTCTTAAGTTCCTTTCCTTTTCATTTAGTGATAATAAAAAATTTGCTAATTTTATGCAGGGATCCTGAATTGGTGAAGCGTATTGGGGCTGCAACTGCACTTGAAGTTAGAGCTACAGGAATTCCATATGTGTTTGCTCCCTGCATTGCAGTGAGTTGATATGATTACACTTTGTGCATATGGTGCTTCTCTATGTATGTTATGTCTGAATAATTGTTTTATGGTAGGTATGCAGAAATCCTAGATGGGGCCGTTGTTATGAAAGTTACAGTGAAGATTACAGGATTGTGAAAAGCATGACTGAGATCATCCCTGGTCTGCAAGGAGATTTGCCAGCTAAATCTAAGAATGGTGTTCCTTACGTTGGCGGAAAGTATGAATCTTTATCCCTTTTTAGATCCTCATCATTTCCTTGACGATGTGTTAGTTATACTAGCAAATTCTTATGAATCATCTATGGTTCTTTGACTATCAATGCTGATGTTGTTGTTTGTTGAACTTTCATATGATTAAGGACTAAGGTTGCAGCATGTGCTAAGCACTTTGTGGGAGATGGTGGCACGAAGAATGGCGTTGATGAAAGCAACACTATAATCAGCTCAAATGATTTATTTGACATCCACATGCCTGCATACTATGACTCACTCAGAAAGGGTGTTTCAACGGTAATGGTGTCTTACTCAAGCTGGAACGGAAGAAAGATGCATGCCAACCGAGACCTTATCACTGGCTTCCTGAAGAACAAGCTCAAGTTCAGGGTAAAGATGATCATTTCACTTGGTAGTAAAATTCCGCCAGTTAAAGTCAAGTCGGGATATATTCCAGTATAACCCAAACTCGTTTGGTTTTTATCTTTCAGGGCTTTGTCATTTCAGATTGGCAAGGGCTTGACCGGATTACTGACCCTCCTCATGCTAATTACTCTTATTCAGTTCAAGCTGGAATTACGGCAGGAATTGACATGGTTAGTCATATAAATTCGTAGACAGATCTTTCGATCATCTTATCTTGGATATGTTATACTAGTTCTTTATATTCACTATGGCTTTTGTCTATGCTTCAGATTATGGTCCCTGAGAATTATAGAGAATTCATCGATACTTTGACTTCTCAAGTGAAAGCCAATATCATTCCCATGAGCAGAATTGACGATGCTGTGAAGCGGATATTGAGAGTTAAATTTGTCATGGGTCTCTTCGAAAACCCAATGTCTGATCCTAGCTTGGCAAACCAACTCGGTAGCCAGGTAAAAAATGTTACCTTAGTTATCCCAATACTATGTTGCTCGGGCTTTTTGGATAGTCCGAGCAACATAGGTATAGCTCTTGCTTGTATTAAATCTAACCTGCTTCATTGTCTTTTCTATAGGAGCATAGAGACTTAGCAAGGGAAGCAGTTAGGAAATCACTCGTGCTCTTGAAGAACGGAAAAACGCCTAGTCACCCACTGCTTCCCCTTCCAAAGAAAGCACCAAAAATACTTGTTGCTGGAACTCATGCAGACAACTTAGGTTACCAATGTGGAGGCTGGACAATCCAATGGCAAGGCGTTGCAGGCAATGATCTTACAGTTGGTACGTCTTCACACTCTCGTATTTTGTAGTTTTAACAACATCTCTATTGTGACACGACGCAACAATTTCTACCATCTGCCTGCGATCATTAGCGTTTGAACAACACATAATGTGCGTGATTGATCAAATTATACAGTGATTTCCTCCTCCTTTCTAGACATACTTAATCCATTGTTGCTTGGACACTTCAAAAATGTTGATGGATGTGTGTCGAATCCTCAAAAAGTAATGCAGTTTTGTTGGAACCGACATGGGTGTGTTAGCATTGTAGGAGTGTCCAAGCAGCATATTACATGCGTTTTACACCAACTCTATTCTGTTGTTTTACTTAGCCTTGTAAATAATACTGTCAGTCTGTTACTCCTTCTCACACAACACATCATTTTTCCGGTTTTGATACGCGTTCCATAACTTGACAGGAACCACCATTTTATCTGCTATCAAGAAAACAGTTGATCCTTCTACACAAGTAGTCTACCAACAGAACCCTGACGCTAACTTTGTTAAGTCCAACAAATTCTCCTACGCCATTGTAGTCGTGGGTGAAGTCCCATACGCAGAGATGTTTGGCGATAGCTCAAACCTTACAATAACTGAACCCGGCCCTAGCACCATCAACAACGTCTGTGGGGCAGTGAAGTGTGTTGTAGTCGTTGTCTCTGGCCGTCCAGTCGTGATGGAGCCTTACATTGCCAAAATAGATGCTCTTGTAGCTGCTTGGCTCCCCGGGACTGAAGGACAAGGCGTTACTGACGCTTTATTTGGCGATTATGGCTTTACTGGTAAACTCGCCCGGACATGGTTCAAGTCAGTTGATCAGCTTCCTATGAATTTTGATGATTCACACAATGATCCTTTGTTTCATTTTGGATTTGGACTTACAACTAAGCCAGTGAAAGCCAACTACTAAACATGAAAAATGAGTAATGCAAAGTCATTTTGTCAACAATTTGTGCAAGCACTGGCTTTCAAGAAAACAAAAAGTGGTATAAACTTACCACAAAATTAAGCCAGTAATCTTGTTATTTATCATTATTGAAGTTTGTGAATTTTGCCATGTAATATATATTTTAGCCTGAGAGTATTGTAAATGAACCTAAATGGAGCATTTATGAAAATGAGGCTTAGTTATTTTGTGTTGTGTTGATTTACGAGTTTGACAGGATTTAGTAGCTTTGACTCTGCTCGATTTTGGTGATCTACTACTAGTCCTTTAGTATATGGGCTCCAAAAAGCAAGTTGAGATTTTTATGTTAAGAACTTTTAGAGAAAATCCACTTACATAATTTAACCAAGCTAGAAATGGTGAAAAAGACTGATTTAGTTGAAATTATTGGGGCGTGAAAAATGTTAATAGTATTTTATTTGAGCACCAGATCCAACTAGCAAGTGGCTAAAAGGGACCACAGGTTTGAAAGAGAATTTAGCATTTTGGGAAGTCAACTCTCTTTATCTCTCTGAGTTTTGTTTCTAATCCCTTCTACGTATTGACCTTTATTAACTACGCCGTAAATTTCATCAATCAATATTAGGCTCTCGAAGAAAAAAGCCCAACGAATGTCCCCAATCCCGCACATCATATCGACGTACTCTCCCAAAATCATCTTGCAAATAACATATATCATATTACATAACCTTGAATATATCGTATCAAATTACTTAAACGACAGAAATAACCAAAGGGTTAAAAAACTTAAATGTACAATTTAAGCACTTAAATAACCCATATATAACAATACTTTAACTTTTCACCCATGTAACAAAAAAATTAAAAATTAAAAATGTTGATTTTTTTTTGTTTTGTTTTACATTGCAAGTAAAATATTATTTTTCGTAGAACTAAAATAAGAATTTATCAGTAACAGGACTAGAAAAAAGACTGTTGATTTTTTTTTTCATATTTACCCTTTTTTTTAATAACCTTCTCTTCGAGAAAGAGTATTAATAACAACATTTAATTTATGTCCAAATATAACATATTCCAACAATTCACTTAATATAGAACATATAATATTTAACTCTTTATATAGGTGATCCAATAATATAAAAATCATTTAAATTTGCTTAGTGTATAAAAGTTAAATTCAAGAATCGTATCTTGTAGTAATTATTACTGACCATAAATCGACATTCTATGAATATTTGTCATAAAGTATAATTAATTGTTTTCCTTTTAGGACACAATCTTATCTTGGAAAGAAAATTATAAACATATTTTCTAGCTAAATAAATAAGGTAAATAATTTTTAAAAATCCTACGTGTAAGCTATTTGTGTTTATCTTAAACTGATTTATAGTTTTTACCGTTAATCTTGATCATAATCACTAATTAAATTTGTAGATATCATAATCATCTAAAAATACTAATACTACTCAAATACTATATTATAAAAGCTTCATAAAATTTCCAGTATGTAAACTAATTCACTAATTTCATCTCTTTTACTTGGTACGTTTTCGTTATTAATATTTGTTATTCACTATTTTGCATCTATTTTTTGCACGATAATTTTTTGAATTTCTGGGTGAATTTTGGTGTTTTTTTGTTTGTTTTTACATACATAATAATATCCTTTTCATTATTTTTCTTCTGTTTCTCCACTTTTAATTTTGTTGTTAATCCATATATTAACAACAAAATAATTGATCTGATTGATTATGTTAAGCTATTAGTGTGTAAAACTTGAGATCTTACTTTTGTTGTTTTAGTATATAACGATGTAAAAAATGGATCATGCATGTATTTTTATGTTATTACTGTGTAGAATTTGAAATCTTACTTATGTTGTGGGTGTTCTGAAAGTGGCGGAAGCAAAAATATAAAAGATATGTTAACAGTGAGATGCAGACTCGGGCTCAACAACACTAAAAGAGTCTTAAGCACCAACCCAAGAGTCAATGAACGAATTAGATCATTTGTTCATCAGATGCTCTATGATAATTTTATACAAATACCTCTTAACTTCTACATAGATATATATATTTCGAGACGAGGTTAATGGGTTCTCGAGCACCCGACGAACTCTATGTAGGTCCGCCTCTGTACAAAATAGATCGTGTATGTATATTTATGCTATTAGTGTGTAGAATTTGAGATCTTGCTTATGTTATTTTAGTGTATAACGGTATACAAATTGGATTGTGTATGCATTTTTTTTATGTTACTAGAGTGGGGCTTGAAATATTTCTTTTGTTGTTTTAGTGTATTTAACGGTAGAAATATTAGATCGTGTATGAGCCGTGTATGTTGTTTAGTGTTGTTTGAGTGTAAAAAAATATAAAAATTACTTATCTTACTCTTATCATTTTGTCTATTTACAGAAATATTTCATATTAAGTTATTAAGTGATCATCTATGAAATCAAGAATTACAATCCTTTTATTGGGACTTGTGCTACTATTCTCAACATGGGACTCATGCATGGCACAACAAGGAGATTACTTGCTCTACAAGGATCCCAACAAGCCAATAAACGCACGAATAAAGGATCTAATGAGTCGGATGACATTGTTAGAGAAAATTGGGCAAATGACACAACTCGAGAGAAAAAACATGACAACTGACATCATGAAAAATTACGGGATAGGGAGTTTACTGAGTGGTGGTGGAAGTGTGCCAAAACCTGAAGCAACAGCCAGGGAATGGGTTGATATGGTGAACGAATTTCAAAGAGGAGCATTGTCTAGTAGGTTAGGGATACCTATGATTTATGGGATTGATGCTGTACATGGACATAATAATGTTTATAAAGCTACTATTTTTCCTCATAATATTGGACTTGGTGCCACTAGGTATGTTTTCTAGATTTTCTAATTTAAATATTTTTTTCTAATTTAAATATTTTTTAACTTTTATATACTGACGATTCAATAACCTTATTAAAGTATAAGGTATGAGTGCCTTTTCAAACCCCGAGGGTTTTTTAAAAAATGTTAAGAGTGCCCTTTCTTTAGCAGAGCCCCTTTCGCTCAAAAATTATATTAGGTAGACAAAAAAAAAATCTTTGAATGATTTTCTTATAAGTTTACTTTTTATATTTTGTTTTTTGTTTTTTTGTTATAAAAATAGTTACCCTTAGTAAATGTCACTAAATTATGATCTTGTATTAGGAAAATTAAATATTTAATTTTCTCAAATTACATAATAATTTGTATTTTGTTTTTGCTTTAATTTTTGTAGAGATCCCGAACTTGTGAAAAGAATTGGTGTAGCAACAGCTCTTGAAGTTAGAGCTACTGGCATTCCTTATGCTTTTGCTCCATGCATTGCGGTATAATTTAATATGTTATAATAGAGATTAAGAATTTTATTATTTATAATATAATTATTTTATAAGTGATCTGATTGTACGAATATTTTTGCAGGTATGTAGAGACCCAAGGTGGGGTAGGTGCTATGAGAGTTATAGTGAGGATCCACAAATTGTGAAACAAATGACTGAAATTATACCTGGTTTACAAGGGGACTTACCTACTAATGTAGTAGGCATTCCTTATGTTGGTGGAAAGTAAGTTAATTTACATTTACATATCTTAATCTTAACATTTTTACTCAGTCGATTAAAAATAATATTTTTATGATATAATAGATTTGTAGTCGTTGTTGATGTATATTTGATGTATAGTAAGTGTATAATCAATAATTATAGGGGTAAAGGATACCTGAACCCCAAAAATTAAGATTAGGATTAATTTCTCACTAAGGGGATAAAGGGGTCCATATGAACCCCTTCGTAGAGGTTTATGGTCACTAAAAGGCGTAAGGGATTCTTCTGAATTCCTTTTGTCTTAAAATTACACTATATATATGTTTTTTTCATTCTTGACGTATTTCTTTATACTTTAACCCCCACCCCCCTTCTTCTTTTTTTTAATTGAATATGAACTTGTACATTTGTTACTTGACCTAAGGATCTTTCAGAAATAGTCTCTATTGAAGGTACGGTGGTCAGCATACACTTTACCCTCTTCAGATCTCACTTGTGGAATACACTAGTATATATGTTTGTTGAATATGAACTTAGTACATTTGTCATTTGATTCGAGTGTCTTTCAGAAATAGTATCTCCGATAGGGGTAAGATATGTGTATGCTCGACCCTCCTTAGACCTCACCTGTGGAAATACACTGATATGTTGTTGAATATGAACTTGTACAATAATTGTTTTTTTTTTGTAGGGAAAAGGTAGTGGCATGTGCAAAACACTTTGTTGGAGATGGTGGCACAATAAAAGGGATCAATGAAAACAACACAGTGGCTGATTGGCACACATTGTTAAGCATTCACATGCCTGCTTATTATCATTCAATCATCAAGGGAGTTTCTACTATTATGGTTTCATATTCAAGTTTGAATGGAGTTAAAATGCATGCAAATCATGATCTTGTTACCAATTTCCTCAAGGGCACACTAAATTTCAGAGTAATGAATTAACCACTTCACTTTTTTTTAATGTTTATTTTACATATATACAATATATTGGAGTCTGGTTATACGCGTCCTAAAGTTCCCTACCAAAGGAGACTCTATTCCAAGGTCCCGTCTTCTGGTTAAGGACGAAGGAGTACTTACTACTCCACCACAATTCTTGTTGCTCAATACTTAATTGCTTTTTTGTTTACCACTTGGTGTCCATTCCCATATTGGGGATCTATTAATTCGGAATCGTGTTGGAAAATACCGTTTTGGGGGGCTAAATTGCTCCCTAGACAAGGCGACTAGATTCCCAAGGGTCAAAAGCTCCAACTTGAGAGCTCTGATTAAGGACAAAGGTGATTCTATTCCCAAGGGTCAAACGCTCGAACTTGAGATCTCTGATTAAGGACAAAGGTGACTCTATTCCCAAGGGTCAAAAGCTCGAGAACTCGAGATTTCTGATTAAGGATGGAGGGGTACTTATCATTCTTACTGCAATTTTTAGTGATAGTTGAGAACTAATAGTTTTGATTTCTTTATTTTTAGGGATTTGTTATCTCAGATTGGGAAGGAATTGACAGAATTACCTCACCACCTCATTCAAATTATACACACTCAGTGTTGGCTGGGGTTCAAGCTGGCATTGACATGGTTAGCTTTCTAGTACTCTCTTTGGTCATTTACATATGTTGTTTATATTATTGGTGTTGTAATTCTTTTGATCTTTTTATATGTCGTTTAAACTTTTGATGTTGTACTTCTTCTGATCTTTCTCGTATATCGTGTAAACTTTTGATGTACTTCTTATGATCTTTTTCATATGTTGTTTAAACTTTTGATGTTATACTTCTTCTGATCTTTTTTATATGTGTTTAAACTTTTGGTGTTGTACTTCTTCTGATCTTTTTCATGTCATTTAAACTTTTGATGTTGAACTTCTTATGATCTTTTTAATACGTCGTTTAAACTTTGATGTTCTACTTAATTTGATCTTTTTCGTCTGTCATTTGAACTTTTGATGTTCATATGTCGTTTAAACTTCTGGTGTAGTACTCTCTCTAGTCTTTTTTATATGTCGTTTAACTTTGCTAAATCGACAAATATTTTGGACCAAATTTCTTTTTGGAGATCGATAAAATAGATCGAGAGACTACGTACTATGTCAAGAATCAAGATGTTATGAAATTTGAATTTTCATCTGATTATTTTTGTGGTTTTTTTGCAGATCATGGTCCCTTTGAACTATACAGAATTTATTGATACATTGACCTCTTTGGTGAAAAATAATTTTATCCCCATGACCAGAATTGATGATGCTGTGAGGAGGATCTTGAGAGTCAAATTTACATTGGGTCTTTTTGAGAATCCTTTGGCTGATTATAAATTAGTTAAACACGTCGGAAGTCAGGTCAGTCTTGAAAACCGAACAAAAGAAGCACAGTCTGATGCATGAAATATCTCGTGTTTCCCATAAATGCACAAAGTGTCTCGTGTTGTTCTGGAAAAATGTTGTCGTGTTCACTCAATGTTGAAACAGAACAGAAACAAAAAAGACAGTCTAATGCATGAAGTATCTCGTGTTTCCATGAATGCACAAAGTATCTCGTGTTTTTCTGGAAAAATGATGGGTTCACTCACTTTTGAATTAAAAAAAAAACAGTCTAATGCAGAAGGTATCTCGTGCTGTCCTGGAAAAATACTGTTGTGTTCACTCAATTTTGAAACACAACAAAAAAAGACAGTCTGATGCATGAAGTATCTCGCGTTTTCCATCAATCCACGAAGTGTCTTGTGTTGTCCTGGAAAAATGCTGTCATGTTCACTCAATTTTGAAATAGAAGACAATCTGATGCATGAAGTATCTCGTGTTGTTCTGGAAAAATGTTGTGTTCACTCAATTTATTTTAAAACAGAACTATATCTTAAAAGATGTTATTCTAGTACTCTTTCTGTTTCATTTTATGTGACGTTTTTATTATTTTTTTCGGAACAGGCACATAGAGAATTAGCTAGAGAAGCAGTTAGAAAATCACTTGTGTTATTGAAAAATGGTGCAAATGCTAATGACCCTATGCTACCATTGCCTAAAAAGGCATCAAGAATATTAGTTGCTGGAAGTCACGCCAATAATTTGGGCTATCAATGTGGTGGTTGGACAATTACTTGGCAAGGAGTTGAAGGAAACAATGTCACAATAGGTATATATTTCTTACTCTTGTCAAACTAAGACACGTAAAATGAAACAGATGGAGTATAGTATGACTTTTCGAAAAAAAATTCAGGTACTACTATCTTGGATGCTATAACAGCTAGCGTTGATTCAAACACAGAAGTGGTGTATAGTGAGAGTCCCACAACGGAGTTTTTAAAGTCGAACAACTTCTCATACTCAATTGTTGTAGTAGGTGAGCTACCTTATGCAGAAACAGCAGGAGACAGTATGAATTTGACAATTGCTAAGGGAGGAATTGGCACAATGAGCAATGTATGTGGCAACACAAAGTGTGTTGTGGTGTTAATTTCAGGCAGGCCATTAGTTGTGCAGTCATATTTGAGCAACATTGATGCACTTGTTGCTGCATGGTTGCCTGGCTCTGAGGGACAAGGTGTGGCTGATGTGTTGTTTGGTGATTATGAGTTTAGAGGAAAGTTGTCAAGAACTTGGTTTAAGAATGTGGATCAATTGCCAATGAATGTTGGTGATAAAAATTATGATCCACTTTATCCTTTTGGATTTGGGCTCACTACAACTAAAGTTCAAGATCAAGTAGCTTCTAGATAGACAATTAGAGATGTTGAATTACTAATATTTATAAGTTTTTGAACTAGTTTTTGGTTTTGATTACCTACATGTTTACTTGTGTTACCATTTTTTGTTATAATGAATCATCTATTTCGATTTGTGTGTCCTATTTTAACTTTTATATAATATGTTTCAGAATGAATGTCGGTCTTTTTATATTAAGGTCTAAAACAGTGGAAATATATGAAATATTTTAGAACAGACTAGTCAAAAATGGCTCAAACTAAAATTAAGTCAAGAGAGGTTGCAGCTAAAGCAAATGGCAGGACAAGGGTAAGCTAGCAAAATACTACTATTTCTTTTTTATTCAACTATATATTAAAGTTCATAAATATTTATCAAAATGATTAAGTTTAATGATTTGAGAAATAGCTAGCCCTCGTATTATGGGAGTTTCTCAAGTCGAAATTCCTTCTCCCTTACTTATAGGTGCTCGTTCTATTTTGATTTGAATGATTTGAGGCTCTCGAGGTATATATGTCTGGTCCTTTTTAAAGTGTTTCAATAAGGGATGGAATTAGAACAAAGTTAATCTCACAAGCAGAGTCAATATTTGAAGGTTATGAATTTAGAACTTGAAACAGAACTCAGCAATAGTTTTGAAGAGTCGGAACAACATAGGCTAAATGAATGACCAAGCACACATAAGTTTGAAGCCAGAACATAGAAGCCTAAAACAAGCTCTTTAGAATATCTAGATCAGGTTCTGAGTTAACCAACTTTAAAATATGCTTTCAAAAATACTGACTAGAATACATCTTGACTATATACTCTGATTATTTGACAAGAAAATTCTCAAGAATAACTGAAGGAATATTGCAATTAAAGACCTGGAACCAGACACTAAACCATAACCAAACCCAAGTTTGCATAAACCATCAGAATTGTGTAAAAAAAAAAAAAAAAAAGGCAACATGATGCACAAAGCATCCCGTGTTCACACAAGGTCAAGGGAAGAGACGCATGCCAAGGGATTGTGTTGTAGGCAGCCTACCCTGACACAAGCATCAGTGGTTGATTCCACCGCTCGAACAAAACGCCTATGGGTCAGATGGAGACAATTTTATCGTTGCTCCAAGGTTCTCCTTCATGCTGCTCAAAGACAATTGCTCAATATTAACTGTGGAAAAGCCTTTATGCAGGAGATTCTGAATGAAATTGCAACACATGCTTTAAAAAGGACAACATACTGCAATTGGAACACAATTATCATAAAAGATACTCAAATGGTTCCTTTGTAACATACATGATAAAACTTCAAAAAGTGGTAGTCAGCATTTCATTTTTGGGCATAATCTTATATACACAACAACAGATAACCATATAATATCACAAAGTCATATAAGCCTTGACATGTGTCTAAAAGGTTTCAAACAGACAGGTGCAAGGATCAAGAAATAAGCATTTAAATGAGTGGCATCGTTGAATAAATTCGGTCTTTACATTCATTTAATGAAAACTACAGGTTGCAATCAAAGTCAATAAAGCTACACAATGTTTCCTAGAGCTATGTTGCTCGGTCTTTCCAAAAATGTTGTCACACCCGTGTCAGATCCTTCAAGAATGCACTACTGTTGGAGGATCCGATATGCACACGACAATGTTTTCAAAGAGTCAGATCATCATAGTCCTAGGGCATACTTCAATGGACCTTTATGATTTCAATGTAGGAAACTAACAGAACTTATAAATATGCCAGTAAAGTTTACTCTGAATAGATGGGAACATGCATTTAGTCAACTGAAGAAGCACACATAATGGCATTTTACACTCAAATACACCAGTCACGAAATCATCCATATAATTTGAAACAGCATATCACTAAAACAATCACTGCCTCATCCAGCTTTTTGAGAAAGGCTAAGTTTTATAAAAGTTGCAGCACTAAGAAAGTGCAAGTGCTGTAATATCAACACGATAGCCAAAAAAACAGAGGATCCCATTGTATTTTTGTCTGGATTCTCAAAGCAGCGCTAAATTTTACATCTAACTTAACTTGGAAGAACAAATAGCAAACAACCAAAGAAAGATAGAACAGAAGAATAGCTGCATAGCTGAAAACACAACAGGACCAATCAGATGGCTGATTTAGAAAGTACAAAATAACTACATATCAACGGATGAAGCATCAACCAATGGGGCATTGATCTATACTATACATACATGAACACATATGATTAGCACAACTACTACTTTTATCAGAAAGTTTAGTACACCAACACTTGTGCTAAAGCAAAAAAGCAACCTCTTTTAAAAATTATGGTGTTAGGGCCAGCTAAGAAGCATCTTATGCATTAACAACTAAAAAAACAGCAAGCAGCTATTCAATAACATGCTACGAGACCCAGATCACATTTAAACTAATCAAACAGTAGAATCACATGTCAGCCCACACATAAGAGATGAGAACCATAATACAAACCTCGTAAGATCAGCAAAATATACACATGAATGAACTAAAGCAGAATGACACTTAAGCAAAAAATTAACTAGGGTTCAACGACCATGACTCAGCCGATTTTAACTTCAAGAAAGAAAAAGTAAGAAAATATGTCCTAAATTCTCACCAACTAAATGATGTTCAAAGGCAGCATGCTTAACACATGCAAGTCAAAAAAGGAACTTGGGAAACGGTGTTTCCAGTGGCAAACGGGTGATAATGCATAAGAACCTGTACAGTAATGGTATAACCTCTTGTGAACTGAAGTGGACAGGGGCAACTACGTAAAATGTGGAAACTCGGCTACGTTTCAAAGAAAGGACAATGGGCTAATTTCTTTTTCTTATGTGGTGAAACTGGTATGAAAGGGTAGCAGAAAACTGGACAATGGTTGAGGAGCCATGTGAAAATTTGACTACTCACAATCTGCAGAAAATGTCTGAGCAAATTTGGCAAAGCATAACCTATATTGGCAAAGTCTGGTCTACCTCTAATTACATTAGACTACCACACAAACCAGTGAAATAGTATCAGTAAAATCCAAATATTATCAGCTTACACATAAGTAACGACAAGTTATTATCAATCTCCACTTTCTAGATAAACAATCAAGTTTCTACACATATCAGCAATAACACCAAAATTTAAGTAAACAACATACAAAAGGATCAATCATCAGCCGCCTCTGTAGACTTCCCTCCAAATGGATCGTGAGAAGTTTCAGTATCCTGACCAATGTGGCGTTGCACAAGGCGCTGCAGATCAGCCATAACCTTCTGCTCACGCTTAGCCTTCTCCTCATAGTTAAACATGGCCAAAGCTCGCTTGTCTTCAGCACTGTAAACTTGGTTTTCCTTTCTGATACGAATAGCATTCATCCTCTGATGCCTACTACCACTCATCACATAGCCAAGACCCTCGAATTTTGAAATCTCATCAGCAGAAAGACCCACTTCACCTCTACGTGGAATACGCTTCCCTTGCTGAACATACTGGGCAATAGCATCACCTTCACCAGGCCTAAGTGCCCCACCATAGCTGATATGCCCTTCAGCCCTTGGCAAGGGCATTGGACCAACTGGGGCCTCATCTTCAAAATTACTTCTCTTCCTTGCCTCAATCAGTTCTTTAAATTCAAGCACCTCACCATTAACTTCATCAATCATTGCTTCATCAGCCTTCATCTCATTAATTCCAGCATCATCATTCAACTCCAAGCTCTTTTCTGGTATGTCACTATCCTCTTCCTTCTTTTTCTTACTCTTCAGAGCACTCTTTTGCTTCTTACTAGCATCAGAATCATCAATTTCACCATCTTCGCTTTCGCTCTTGCTTTTACTCTCACTCTCACTTGAATAGCTTTTCTTTTTGCTTCTTTTCTTCCTACTACTACCACCCCTTTTATGTCTCCTGCTACTCTCTTTTCTCTTCGACTTTTTCCTTCGTTTGTTCCTTTCTTCTTCTGATGATGAATCATCAGTAGACTCTTCCTCCGATTCACTCACACTTTTCCTTCTCGATCTCCTACTCCTGCGTCTAGAGCTGGATTTCTTCCTCTTCCTAGATTTCCTCGGTTCAGAATCTGAAGCCTCTGAGTCGGAATCTGATGCATCTGATTCAGATTTGGAATTGGATTCACTTCCAGAAGACTTAGTTTTTGACTTCTTCACATCCTTTTTGGATCCATCCTCCTTCTTTACCATCTCGTCTTCGATTTTTTTCTGCAATTTCATCAGGTTCTTCATATTCCGGCTCATTTTCTTTCCTAGGTGGACTTGGTGTGCAATTCCAAATACAATTCTTCAACTGTTTCCTCAATTTCTGACGTTTTAGCCTCCGGTACTCTTCAAAACTCAAGCCTTTAAGCTCTTCATCCGAATCAGAATCTGCAGTTCTTCCACTCTTATGATCTCGATCAAGGTATGGTTTCTTCCCCCGTCCAAATCTCCTAGGAGGTTCATTCGTAGGGCTTGGTCTCCGGTACGAACGATCTGGAGAAAACGATCGCCGGTTGTTTCGTCCATTAGTATGTGACGCTTGCTGGTCTCTATATGGACTATAAACCGGACTCCGACTCCGGCTACCGCTAACACTTCGGCTCAGGCTACGGTTTCGGTTTCTGACAGGACTACGGCTACGACTAGGACTTCGATAGCGGCGTCGATTGTCGTAGTGTGAGCTCCGTTGAGGTGAGTACCGGCCGCCGTCACCGTCCCGGTGGCTCCGATGCCTGTCGTCGGGGATTTCTACGGCGGAGGAAAGCCTACCCATTTGGGAATTAGGGTATTGTAAATGAAAGAAGGCGGCCGGCGGGATTGTAAAATATAAGGTGTATGATTTATTATAATTTAATTTTTTTAATTAAAAATATATTATATATTTTAATAATTACATATTCGATTTAGCCCGCAAATAAATAGAGAGAATTGTATGAAATAGCAAATTATTAATTCAAATCAAATGATATAGCCATAGTTTATTTTAATTGTAATTCGTAGCAAACATCTCATTTTTTTGTCATATGATTCGATATACAATTAGTCATTTTATACATTT